AATTTCACGTGAAATTTCATGAAATTTCAAAACGTGAAATTTCACTTTCCATCTCTGCTCTAGTCCATTCCAGATTATAATCTTTGCAATTGGTGAAAATGTAATCTTTATTCCCGTTTGTGACACTGTGGACTGTGGAGACCTAAAATACGGGAACCAACAAGGTACACTCTACTACAGGTATGGACAAACGGGGTGCCGAAGTGGCAGCGCTGAGAAAATCGGCGATCGAGTGACGTATGAAGTCGTACCGTCCATTTGCCGCACATGCCATTCGCAGTCGTACTCTCGATGCTGTCAAATCTACGCGTTTTGACGACTTTCTAAAATTCCATTTGTCCATACCTGTAGTAGAGTGTACCTTGGGAACCAATCAGAAATGGATTCAAATTGTCTAGACTCTCAGTATAAAGGGACTCAAGTCATCTCTGTCTGTTGTTGTGTTTTGTCAATTCAAGTCTGGTGTTTTCGCAATTTCTGTGTTTTAGTGTTTCGTGTTTTCTTATTTTCTTCTTAATTTCATTTAAGAAAAAAATCTGAGCTCTGATTGGCTCCTGACATCACCGATCATCGGCATCACTCAGCACTGATCAATTCGTTTGATGAATGACATTCGATCGCAAAGTTTCGCTTAGAGTCCCTTTATACTGAGAGTCAAGACAATTCGGCTCATGGATGTCACAAACGGGAATAAAGATTACAGAAATTGAACGTTTTTCGTAATCTTTGATCGGCCCATTCTCAAATGCCTTTCTCCGTTCCTCCTCTCATTCCGTTTGTTCCTTGCCGAACCCGTAATTCCCTGGTCCATTCCAGATTATAATCTTTGCAATTGGTGAAAATGTAATCTTTATTCCCGTTTGTGACACTGTGGAGGCCTAAAATACGGGAACCAATCAGAAATGGATTCAAATTGTCTTGACTCTCAGAATAAAGGGACTCTAGTTTCGCTTAATGTGGAGCCAATCAACCAACAACAACAACCTTGATTGTGAAGACTCTCAGAATTGTCCAGAGTAATTGTCATATATTTGTTCCTATTGTTTTCATCGCTGAAAAATCTTTAACAAAGAGCCCTAAACCTCAAGAATGAATTGACTTTCTTCTACAACGAGCCTTTTAATTGTTCGTAAAAGGTTGTCTCTCATCTAAAGCAAAAAAAAATTTAAGTGACTGCGCAAATTTCAACAGTACATTGTGCTTACTTCGTTGTGGATAATCTCCATCATGTTCAATGGATCATTGTTTGGTGAGGATTTTTTACACTTTAGAAAGACCTAGTGAGTATGACTACTATGATATATAGATCTCCTATAGATCAATGAATCTGTAATATGAATGAATTCACTGAAGTTGCTTCAAGGCGAATGCTGATCTTGTGCTGAACACATTTTCTCTTTTTTCTTTTTTCTCCTCTGCTTGCACCTTGCAACTAAAAGGCTGTGAGGAGATCTCTAATTTGCAAGAAGCCAGCAAGGCTAGAATGCAGAAACATATTGGTTCAGGTGATTCTAAGTGATCTAAGGACAAGATTCGCCCAAGGTAGATTTACACAGGTATGGACAGAACTTAACAACTGGCCTCTGATTGGCTCTCCAGCGGCCCCTTAACGTCAGCCATTTTGAATGTTTTGATTATTTTGATTTATTATGTTCGGTTTATCGTTTGTCAAAATTTTGTGGGATTTTTTGCACAGTTTTGATAATGCGATATTAATTTTAACGTTTAAACGCACAAACGTTTGAATGTTAATTTGATTGTAATTTAATCAAAAAACGGGCCCCTTAACCTACGTCACGTAGTCATGTGACACATACTGAGGCTCATGGGAAATTTTCAACTTTTCCATACCTGTGTAAATCTACCTTGAGATTCGCCACTACGTTGCGCTGCTAAGTATGTGGTTTGTGTCTTTCAGAAGCAATCATTATCATTATGTCTAAGATAAAGCTATGAACTGATTCATAACGTGTAGCAGCATCAGTACTGAGTAGAATGACATTGAATTTGTGTAGATTTATTGTTAATTTATACCTGAAACTACGATAACGGACGTTGCTCATTGACTCAACATGTATGAGAGAGTCATCATAGCGCTTTCTCTTTCTTACACACTGAATCTATGAGCGACGTCCATTATTGCAGTTTCAGGTATAAATTAACAATGAATCTTAACAAATTTGATGTCATTCTACTCAGTAGTAATGCATTTAGTTAAGTTCCTTTTTTTCCCCGACATTAGTCGTATAACACACCTAGGTTAAGTTCCATCACATTATCACCCCTTCATTTCATCTCATCCTATCTTACCTCGTGAAGGAATAACATAATCCCCTGTTTTATGTTTCAATCACATTATGTTTTTATATAGAGATTGTGTATTTTTCTGTTAAAGAAGATAAAAAGCATGAATGCAGCTATGTGTTATGGATCAGTTTCTTGCATTATCTTGTACATTACAATAATGATTCCTTCTCAAAGATGTAAACCGTGAGGCAGTGCAGCATAGTGGTGGATCTCGGTGCTGGATCACCTAGAATGACCTTATCGGCTTCTAAAGTTTTGCTCATCCTACCGCAACTTGACTTGATCAAAATATTGAAGCTACGCTTTTTTTTCAATATGTTCATTTATTTTCTTCAGTTTAAGTAATACAGTTATTGTTTCAATCAACTTAACTCATCTGTGAGTTTAACTCGTGTTAACTCGTGTGGATCAGTCAGTTTTACATATTTAATGTTCATTCTATGGTAGGTTCAAAATGAAATTTTTATCAAAATAGGTTACATTTGTTTTGTTCTATTTTAATTTATATCTAGGTTAAATCAAAGGGTGGCTAGGCCCAAAGACATGAAGACGGAGGGCTATAAGCAAAAAATAAAGCTTCTTTTCAACCACCTTTACTATTGGCTAGAGGATTGGCGGCGAAATCGGGACAAGTTTGAAATTCAAATGTAGGGCGGGAACTAAATAAAATTGCAGAAACAAAGTATTCTAGGTTGATTTTTGCCCAAATTCACTTACCCACTCATATTTCTTTAACTTTAGGTTAGTTTTGGTCCGTCGTTGACCGATTAATTTCATTTGGGAGTAACGGTCATCTAGAACTGTAACGGCCTGTTTGAACCTGCAGAACCACCATGAGCAGAAGAAAAACTAACTTTATCTGAGATTACTGCCTGTTACCAAGCAAAAGTAGGTGCATTATAATAGGACGCAGTTTCAACTTTCTTAATATATTCGTTTTAGGCATTTAAAATACGTTTCGAAGAAGAAATGTGGGAAAATCAAGAGGACGAGTTCAAATCAAATTTCCGTTTGCCGCCATGGATTCCCGCGCTCATTTACACACTCACATAAGGGGTTTTCTTTTTTTGATCGGTGGTACCGCCGATCACCAAACTGTGTTCGTTAATTGATCAGTCGGCGCTGACGTCACGACCGGTGGAAGTACGACCGGTGGATTTGGTACCACCGATCAGTGATCGGAGTGATCGGTCATTTCTCCGATCTCTCCGATCACAGCTCCACCGGTGGACAACCTAACCTTACTTCAGCCAGATCTCAGGCCAAAAACAAGCAAACTAACGAGAAATCGTGAGTAATTCGCGCCTCCCGCCGTCGCTGAGTCTGATGATTCTGCTTGGATCGTCATTGTCGCCTATGTATTGAATTATGTAATATATTTAGTGATATTTTCCCCCGTACTTTATTTGTAGCAAAAAAGGAGTTAATGCTGGTACATTGAGTATATCTTTGCACTATTGCAGTATCATTGCGGTAAAGGTTTGATGAGAGGAAGAAATCCATTTGTTTACATTGGTGGAAAGTGTGTTCTTAAACTCCCGACTGATCGCGGGCAATTTCGTACCAAAATGGCGGCCGGTGGATTTTGGCAGATCTACCGATCAAAAAAAGAAAACCCCTATAAGCACCCAGTGCCAAACCAGAGCCGTCTTTTATTTCGTTTGCAGCGGACACTTCGCGGTCCGCAGGCGTCTGCAATCGTCTTTTATTATTTTGCGGATGACTTGGAGTGGGCGGGGCTTAATTTCGAGGATGCGAAGCGGACACAAGAATTCGCCTGGATGCGGACACCTGCAGACGTTTGCGGTCCGCGGCCGTCTGCGAGGTCTGGAGTTCGCAGACCGTAGACCGCGGACGAAACCCTAACCTCTCGACAATATCATCTTCTTCTGTCTTCTTCACGTGCCCTTCTATTTTGTCATTTGTCAATCCTATTTAGTCTCTATTTTTATTTTGACCCATGATCTTCGAACTTTCATATCTGTTGAAACAATTCAGGATTTTATAACTATCCAATAATTACGGTTTTATTCATTTATTGGTTGTCATTTGAAATGTGTTGGCATTTATGCCCAAATTTCTTATTTCGTTTTCGAAACTTTTTATCGAGCACTCCTAAGAAAGTTTTTATTAGATGCTTCACCAAGGTTGATTAGCTTCATTCACACCCAGTATTATCAGAATCAGGTACACTTAAACAAAATGCAGTGGCGCCCTCCAGCGGTCCGCGCTGTTAACACCTACCTCGCTGTGATTGGCTCTCTGAAGTATCTACGAAAATCACCGATCGTCCGCGGTCCGCGAAGAATTCTGTAGACGAAATAAAAGACGGCTCAGGCTGCACTCTTTCCCCGTGCTTTTAGATACGAGCACTCCGTCTTTATGTCTTTGGCTAGGCCGCATTTGTTAATGAGGGGTTTTTGTCATCACACCATCAGGTAGGTAACTGATTATTTTTATGTATCATGGAGCAATGATGAACGCATCTTAATGGAGGACTCGCGTATGAAGTTACTGCGAAGTTTGCCTTTCCTCTTTGCAGCTTGTAAAAAATTCTATTCTCATTTCAGCCTGTCATAAACCATTGGATCAGTTCTGCAATGATTATGAATGAACTGATTACAGTACGTGTTTAGGGAGAGTATGGACGTGTCGGAAATTTTAAGGTTTGGTGATAGAGCCCTTAGGGCCCAAATGGGCAGACAATCCGTAAATTCAAATTATCTGGAGTGATTTATTATTAAAATTGACATGATCTGTCATTGGTAAAGCACTTATTTGACTTAGTTTTTGGATAAATTTACACATTTGGAATAATTTATGAACATTCTTGGCCATATCGGTGTTATATTGGCAGTAACCTTTTTTGTTTTCAAAGGTTGGCTGCTCTTTTTGACTCTGGAAGATCCATATTTTCATGTGTCTGTGTTCTCCCTAAACGTATAGTTGTGGCTGAAGGACGCCATTATTTAGTGTGAGTTATTTCAAGAACTATGGCGCTGTATAATTATTGATTGTTGATTGAACTACCTAAGCTTTCCGACCGGGTGGTCATAGTTTCATTACACATCACAATTTAATACAGTCACATTTAGTAAAGTTTTCAAGGATTCAACAACACTAACAATATCAACAACGTTCACATCATCTACTACAGCTCACTTTCAGTGCACATGTCAATATTTTCTTCTTTTTTCTTACATCTTTCGTTTAGCCTCAAGATCGCAGCCCCTACTTATTTTTATGTTATCAGCACTGTCAATTTCCGTTATGACATTTAATAAATTCTCATTCCTTCTTCTCCCTTTAGCAATTTCGAATTTTTCCAGTACACTTAGTAATCTCCAGTCCCTATTCCTATGTAATATTTTGACATTGTCACAGTTAATTTTATGATGATATTCATGAGCATGCCTAAATACATTAGATGTGTTATTTCTAGTGTGTTCTGTACCTCTGACTTTGATTAACCTTTCACTTTTTCCACAGTATTTATTATCACAATTTGTATAGGTAGTTAATTTTGTAAATCTCTAAACAGTTCCTTTCATCTTGATGATCCTTGTTTTTATGTTTACCAGCTCGTTGTCTGATGATATTTATAATATTATTGTTGGTCGAAAATGCTGATCGCTGTTTGTGTTTGCGGAATATATGTTACGGGCACATCCCGTCGTGCGGGCAGATCTAGATCTGCGCAGAGAAAACGGGCAGATCTAGATCTACCCACCTGAAATTGGGCGGACCTAGTTGCGCCCGGGCGGATCTAGGTCTGCCCAAAACGGGAGAAATTAAATAATTAAAATTAAAATTTAAAAAAAACCGAGATAAAAAATAAACCCAACACCATGTTTCATTGGAAAAAAAAGAGAGGAAATGTTTTCTGTACCGTTCTACTTGTTACAGCATGGGCCCGAATTATGACATTTTGAGTTGCACTGCAGTCCTTTCTTTTTGCACGAACATCTGTTGTCATTGCACTGGCCGCGGCAAGAACATTTGGTGAAGCCTTGGTCGCCGAAGTTCGAATCGGCGCGGCTCAGAAATCTGAGAGAGATGATTGCATCAGGCACATCCGAAGCCTTCAAAAATTCCTCCTTACAGGGTCTGAATTGATTTCTCGTGTACAGGGCTGCTAATCTCCCATGCTGTGATCCAAGTGTGTACAGTTGATCCTCAGATACCTCCAATACAACCGCAATTGTAATTAAAATAGGGGAGGAAGAAATTGAAAGAGTAAAGATGTATAAGTATTTAGGGGTGCTGGTAACAGATGATATGAATTGGGATAAACAGGTAGAAAAGGTATCAAATGAATAAAGAAAGAGAGTAAGTCTGCTATGGAGGGTAAAAAATACGTTGACAATTGAAGGGAAGAAGTTGCTGTACTATGCTTTAGTAGGGTCGTTGCTAAACCATTGTACAACGATATCATTTGAAGCAGGGAAAGGGGCTATTGAAAGGTTACAATTGGGGCAAAATAATGCTATGAGGTACATATTAAATAGGGGAAGGGAGGGAAATATTGGAGTAATGCTGAACGAATTGGAGTGGTTATGTATTGAACTGTTTGTTAAATACAGAGTGTTTATCTTTATCTATAAAATAAAAAAGGGATACCTAAGAGGGGTTGATAGAGGAATAAAAGAACTGATGGAGAGTGAAAATGTTAAAGGTACTAGACTGGGGGATAAAGTATAGGCATATCATGAAAAGGGTTCGGTGGACAAAATGATTTTCTACAAGGGAGTGAGGGAGTATAATAAATTCAAGTGTTATAAATTAGTAGAGCTGGGGTTGGGTGCATTCAAGAGGAACTTGCTATTCAAATTGAGGGTGTATCAAAATGAGAAGTGGGGAGATGGTAGATTGTTAAAGGAGGTTGATAGGAAGTTAATCTAATCAAAGGTAAGATAGGCTAGTAGAACTGAACGGGATTAGCCGATAGGCTATTAGAAAAAAAAAAAAATAGTATTACGAGCGTCGCCTTTCGCCCGGTCTACATCTGGGAAAGGGATTGTAACATTTGAACCCACCGGAAGAGGCTGAAACTTTCTCTCGCTCATTTTAATCATTTTTACGGCCTGTTTGGCTAGATTTTCCACGGCTTTGCGCTTAGCTCGGCCATGTGCCGTGCTAGTGGATGGTAGCACGTTGTCATCGCTAGCATCACTGGCAGACAGGGAAGGTTCTGTAGAGAGGCTGGCAGCGTCAATGATTGCCTCCGTATTGACTGGAGGGTCGTCTGGTTCATCGCTAGCATCACTGGCCGACTAAGAAGGTTCTGTAGAGAGGCTGGCAGCGTCAATTATTGCCTCCGTATTGACTGGAGGGTCGTCTGGTTCATCGCTAGCATCACTGGCCGACTAGGAAGGTTCTGTCGAGAGGCTGGCAGCGTCAATTATTGCCTCCGTATTGACTGGAGGGTCGTCCGGTTCATCGCTAATTCGCTAGCATCACTGGCAGGCTCCTCTTGATTTAAAAATTCATCAATGTCTGCTTCTGTTGAAATTTCAGCAGGAACAGAGTCCGGTAAGTTCAGGCTGTCCAACCCACCACTTGCAACCAATTTTTCAACACCCCCGACCTTCAAAATTTGGTATTTTTTCAACCGCCGCCGATCCAAAGTTGTTCTACGTATTTTGGATGCTGCTACTCGAACTTCATTCAAGAGGCTTCTGTATGTCGACTCTCCTATAATTAAGTTGTTACTTCCACCAACCTGTTTCGCGATCAATTTATCGTTGAAAGCTTTTTTGCATTCTTCACCCATGTTTTCTTGCTTCTTTAAAATTGCTCCGTTAGGTAATCTGCACTAAAATTACTAAAACACTAAAAACCGGCGAAATAAAACTGACTAAAACACGCGAAGTAAAACTTTATAAAAACACGCGAAATAAAACTAAATCAGCGAAATAACACTTTCTAAGGCCACGCGTCCAATGTATCATGCCCGTGCCGACTGAAATAGCTGACTGACTGAATAATGATCAGAGTAAACAGACATACCTCAGTACTCCCTTGGTGTGTTATCAGTTGTCACCTATTTTTATTGAGCTCCGACTGCACCTGATAATCAGATCGGCCCGGCGAAAGATTGCGCGCTCTTAGATGTTCCCGATTCCCTTTAGCGCATCTAGATGTGCCCCGGCACATCTAGAATCCTGCGGGCGGACCTAGATCGGCCCACCTGGATGTGGGCAGACCTAGTTCCGCCCGAGCGCATCTAGGTCCGCCCGGGCTGAACAAAGTGTGCCCGGGCGAAACTGGATCTGACCGGAAACGGGATATGCCCGTAACATATACACTAAAAATAACACATCTAATGTATTTAGGCACGCTCGTGAATATAATCATAAAATTAGAACATACCAGTAAAGTCATATGTAAATTAAGCCGAGCATCTTGGGCCCTGCGCAACCTGTCAAGAATATCTACCCTTCAGTGTTGCTTAGCATTCTATCATGCCCATGTTGTTTCCCATATGAGATACGGACTAATCCTGTGGGGCCGTAGCACTGGAGCAGAGCAAGTTTTCATGTTACAAAAAAAGCTCCTCAGAATTATGTTTAATATGCCCTGGAATGCCCACTGCCGCCCAAACTTCATAGAGCATAGATTGTTCACCCTGACCTCCCTTTATATCTTGGATAGCCTAAAGTTTGCAATCTCAAATGGATTGGTATCTCCCTCTGATCTTCTACTGTCTCATAATTACAACAGCAGGCATAGAGATATCATAAACGTAAAAGTCCGACTGAAACTATCTGAACAAGATTGCAAATTTTCGGCTATCCAAATTATAAATGCTCTACCTTGGAACATTAAACAAAAACTCCGCGATGGTAATATACAGACATTTTTCAATTTACTTCGAGATCTACTTTTAAGGAAGGCATTTTATAATTTGAACGAATTTCTAAATTCAGCTGTTGAGTAACGTTCTACTAACCACCACCTAATGTAACAGTTTTAATTTATATTTTTAATTATTGTATAGTGTTTTTTGACCCGTGCCATAGCCCTAATAATGGGGCTCTCATGTACGAAAGTTATAATAAATAATACAATAAATAAAAACAAAATAACAATTAACTTTGACAATGTCAAAATATTACTTAAGAATAGGGACCGTAGATCATGAAGTGTACTAGAAATATTCGAAAGTGCTAAATCGAGTAGAAGGAATGAAAATGGAGATGTTGCATGTGTGAGGAATTTGCGATTTGACTGTTGATCCATTTGTAAAAGTTCGCGAGATACGATGGTGCCACTGGTTTTCTCTGAAATCAACTCCCAAGCTTAAAAAAAGCTCTCAAGTTGAGAACAAAATGGAAGGGATATCCCACGCTATCCTGAGAGTCCACCTCTACATCAAGACAAACTCTCCATGCAAAGATAGGGAGCAAATACATTGACAGGGTTGCCGTGATTTCAGTTTTAGAGTCCCCAAAGAAGGTGGCAGCCCTGTCAATGTATTTGTTCCCTATCTTTGCATGGAGAATTTGTCTTGATGTAGAGGTGGACTCTCAGGATAGCGTGGGATATCCCTTCCATTTTGTCCTCCACTTGAGAGCTGTTTTTAAGCTTGGGAGTTGATTTCAGAGGAAACCGGTGGCACCATCGTATCTCGCGAACTTTTACATATGGATCAACAGTCGAATTGCAAATTCCTCACACATGCAACATCTCTATTGATTAAATGTCAAAACGGAAATTGACAGTGCTGATAGCATAAAAATAATTAGGTGCTGCGATCTTGAGGCAAAACGAGAGATTTAGGAAAAAAGAAGAGAACATTGATCCACATAGCACAGAATATTGATATAATACTACTATAGTACTGACATGTCAGTAGTGTCAGTATTTATATAAGATGTATCCTGAGTTAATATTATA